GTGGCTTGCCAGCCCGAGCCCCTGCCACCAGCGCATGCGCACGCACTGTGCTGCCACCGCGTCGCCGCCGTGCGGGGGGATGCTGGGGACATCAGTTTTGTGGAGCTCCCGCACCGGCACATGGAGTGGTCACCCGTAGCAGTCCGCGGTGAGGCTGGCGTCCTGGCATGGCGGCTATCGTGGGCTTGTCCGCGGTGCTCGCGAGTTCTTGATTGGGCAGAGGCTGAGGTGCCCTATGATGCTGGCACACCCTGTCCTGACTGCCGCCGGCTGCGGGGCTGGGAGTTCGACGCCGCCGCTCGCATCTGTGCTGCGCATGCGGACGGCAACCCTGCCCGATCGCCAGGGCACCTGAGGAGCCCAACCGCCCCAATGCTCCTGCCAATAATCTGGTGCCCATGCGCGGGAGCTGGGTTGGGGCGCTTTGGAGCGTGAGTGCGCGTCGGCGCAGCTCAGATGCGGGATCGATGTCGTCGAGCTGCTCAAGGCCGAGGCGCACGCCCGCGGAGGCGGCGCTCACCCGCTGCTCAGCTTGCGTCGGAGCATGTCGGAGCCGCGGCGGCAACCGCAGCATCGGCAGCGGACGAGGCGGCGACCGGCGCCGGAGGCTCTTGGATCCTGCTTCCGCGTCCGGCTCTGCGGCCACGACGCCCTCCACCTCGCCCTGGCCGTTGTTGGGCAACGCCTGGGGCGCGCTCCGAAACAGCAGCAGCGACCTCGTCGTCCTGCGAGTTGAGGCCGTCGTCACCATCAGACGGCCGCGCAACGGGGTAGGGCGCGTGGTGGCGGGCACCGGAGGGCCCGGTGCTGCGTCTGCTTGGCGAAGCGCATCCGAATAGCGGTCGAGGTTCGACGCAAAGCTGAGCCCCCCATATAGCTGCAAACACACCTCCTGTGCCCCTGCCTGAATGTAGCCGTCGGGAGTGGCGAGTTGACGAACGACCCAACTCAAGCGCAGCGCAGCTCCGGAAGGCAAGGCCCGGGCGGCGGCGATGATGGTTTGGGGAGGCGGAAAGTGGTGCCGGGCAGCCGCCTCACGCAAGGTATCCACAAGCAGGGTGGCCGGGACCGCAGCCGAGTGACGAAGCGTGTGGCATGCCTCGTCCCACCACGGCTGACAGCGCTCATCATGGCTCCATGCTTCGGCGGCCTGCGAAGACAGGGTACCGCACGCAGCGTGCAAGAGCGGAGCGAACAACCAGGAGTTGGTGGGTGAGCACGGGTCCCCTGCAGGCGGCTTTAGCCTGCTCCACCAAGCAGCACTCCGGTTCGCCAACGCTGACGTGCCGGCGCCTATCCGGCAGCCGCGCGTCTTGGAGGCATCGTCGCACTCCGGAAGCCGAATGGCCGTGTCCGCACCTTGGTGGTTGGGGATGTCTTTCGCCGCCTTGTCGCCCGTACTTTGGCCCAACAATTCGCCGAAGAGCTTCAGGCGGCATGCATGCCCTACCAGTTCGGCTTGAGCACACGCGCGCGGGCACCGAGGCGTTCTACAAGCTTCTCCAGGTCGCCACGGAGCGCAACCCTCGCGCCACCGTCCTCTCAGTCGACGCGGTTGGGGCATTCGATCATGTATCCCGTCAGGCCAGACTCGAAGGGCTGCGCTCGCGACCTCAGCTTGCCCCGTTGCTGCCGTTCGCCCGCCAGTTCTACGGCAGCGAGAGTAGCTACGTGTGGACCGACGACGCCGGCGCCGAGCTTGAGGTCCTGCAAGCCGAGGGCGGAGAGCAGGGTGACACCCTCATGCCTGCGTTAGTGGGTGCATGGGCCTCTTTATGGGCATGGGTCTGTTGGGACAGATTTCATGCGGCCGGACTATATATAAAGTTGCCCCGAACTATTTATAAAACTGACCGAACTATTTATACATCGTCCGGAACCGCTCGGAACCGTTTTGGACTGTTTGTAACCGCGCTGCGAGACACCATCGCCGACCATCGCTCAAATCAAAGCCGCAACAATAGCCCCACAGTGTTTATAAGTCGCCCGGAACCGCTCGGAACCGTTCCGAACTATTTATAAACGTCGGGTTCATATATAGTTCAGAACGGTTCCGAGCGGTTCCGGACTATCTGGAACGATTTCGAATCATCTGCTGGAAAATTTATATATAGTTCTGAGACCTTTTATATATAGATCGAGGAATATTATATATAGTTCCTGCAAAATGCGGGATGCCCAACAGGTAAAGAGGCCCACGCAGCTACTAATGCCTGCGCTCTATGCGGTGGCCCAACTCTGTTCTAGAAGCCGTTGCAGCTGCGCTGCAGCCCACATCGTTTGCTCCCCAGAACGCGTCGCCACTCTTTATGGTGTCCTCGCCGCTGCCTTCTGGGATCATGCCCGGGTCCAGCTCGACCAGGGCAAGACCCGTGTTTGGAACACAGCAGGGCAGGAACCTCCGAACCTCGCTGCACTCCAACCAGACCCCAGCTCTGCCACGGGCGTTTGGGTCGGGGCTTGGACCTTGCCCCCGAGCAGCACGGGCTCGTCGTGCTCGGTGCGCCGCTCGGCACTGAGGCATTTGTGCAACGGCACTTGCGGGACCGGCGCCGCAACCAGGATGCCCTCCTCGAGCGAATCCCCACACTCGACGACTTGCAGTCGGCCTGGTTGCTGCTGCTTTTCTGCGCGTCAACCCGCGCCAACTACCTCCTCCGTATGTTTCCTCCGCACTGCACCGCCGCTTACTCCCGTCAACATGATCGCGCCATAGCCTCGTGTCTCCGCACCTTGCTTTACGGGGAGGAAGCGCTCGAACTACCGGCTGATGCCCTTGCCACGGCGCAACTACCGCTTGGGTTAGGGGGCCTGGGTCTGCGATCTGCTACCTCCGGTGCCCCAGCCGCTTACTGGGCCTCGTGGCAGGACGTCTTTCCTGCGCTGCTGCTGCTGCTGCTGCTGCGCTTCCCGGCTGATGCAGCGAGACTGCAAGCTTGCCTCCGTGAGCCACATGCCGGCATGCCGCCAGCCCTTGCCGCCGCATGCACGGCCGCAACGCGAGTGCGTGAGGCTGGCTTTCCGGCGCCCGATTGGGGCGCTGAGGCTGCGCCTGCAGCACGTCACCCTCCGCACGGGGACGGCCACCTGCGCGGCTGGCAGCGAGCTGCCGTCGCCGCTTGTGACGAGCGCGCGCTCGAGACGCACCTTTCTCACCTTACCCCTGGGTCCCGAGCGCTGCTGCTCTCGCAAACTGGGGCCGTTGGGGTCCAAGTCCAAAGCGTCCGTCATGGATAAATCGCCCTGTGATCCCGAGAAAAGGCCAGTGCCAATGCATCCGGATATCCAGCTGTCTTCCTGCTAGCGAAGTCTCCTCCCTGAGCACGGCCTCGTTGAATTGGGCGAGTGGTCAGTGGCTGCTATTGCTGCTATTGCTGCTATTGCTGCTATTGCTGCTATTGCTGCTATTGCTGCTATTGCTGCTGCTGGCCCTTCGGCAAGCCATTGTTGGCTACCGGGCCGAGGGTAGCGCCTAGCATGCGTTCAAAGGCAAAAACAGGGGCGGGAGCGTGCATGTGTGCGGGTGTGTGTGGTTGGGTCGTTGGCGCCTGAGGACGCTGCCCCTCTTTTGCGCCTGAGGACGCGGGGCCAGAGCAACGCTCTGTCGGCGCCAGAGGACGCTATATGGCCAGGCGGCTGGCGGAGCCATGTAATGTATGCGTAAAAATAAAAAGACATGATCGTGTAAGTTCCAACGAACGTGCTTCAACTACAATGTTGGTCGTATTGGTTGCGTATGGTCCCTAGCTCCCGAACGTTCCAAGTGCCGATGTACGGCGTTTCGTCATGTAGGCTAAGCTGTGCACTACGATCTTCCCCATGCAAATACGTTTCCGATTCCTGTCCCCTTGAAGTTTCCTGCGTGTTGTTGAGTCTACGACCGTGTGTGGCATGGCATGTTTCCCGCCTGACAAAACTGAAAAAAATGGTGCGGAGTGTGTGTGTTTGTGTGAATGCGTACAGTGAGTGCGTGAAACTATTATGTTCCTTGTTCGAGTCCTGTTGCAGCTACGTTCGTACGTTAATGTTAGTTCTATTGGAACCATCCTGTGCCGTGTAGTGATCGTGTTATCTTTGTACCCTCGTTGGGGGCTGATAAGGAAAGGGCTGTCGTGGAATTCCCCAGCCGTTTCATACTCATCAATTTGGAGTGTCGGAGCCCGCCCGCGACTCCGGGATGGAAATCTGCAACGGAGGAACAGCGGACGACATCGAGTCCCCAAGATGCCGCATGCCCCAACGCCTCCGAAGCGTTAGCGACTTCACCCCTTATGTGCACCTCGCCCTCCCTGTGTTGGGAGCGCCCTCAATGAGGGAAAGGCGTTAGCCCTGCCGGGGACTTCCGACGTCAACAAGACGCTTTAAAGTTCGGATGTCAACTGAATGTCCCCCCGTGTCACTTGCCCGATTCCGGTGGTGGTCGAACAGAATTGGCCCGAAGCGTGCCTGTAAGTCTCGTCTCCCTATCCCGGCCTGTCGTGCTTAGAGCGGAATCATGCTATCTGGGTTTTGGCCGCTGTTGAACATGGCAGGTTTCCAGGGGGCACCACGTGGAGGTTTGGTGCATGCCGGGGCCCCCGTGGCCATCCAGGTAGCCTTTTCATTGGCTTGTCAAGTGGGGTATCTTGACTCGCATAGTCTGCTCGACATGTATCATCGTGAACGACACTGTGCACTGACACAACGGGCCCCAGGGAAGGCTGGTAGATTTCCGCCGCTTTACGAGGAAGGAGGCCTTGCATTGGACGCCCAGGACTGCAGGGGCGTCCGCACAGATCCAAGCGAAAAGACCCCCGCTCGGATACTTGACGTCCGCGGATAGGGGCAGAGAGCGGGCAGCGAAGCAACCGTGGTCTTGGACCTCATTGCATGGCACCAGCACAGGGAAGGGATGGACGCCTGCTTGGTGGCTTTTGATGTCTAATCAAATCCCACCAAACCCTACAGCTCGATCATATTCGAACCGCTACATGTGTTTGCTCAAAAGATGGTGGTAGAATATGGCGCCAACGCCCGAGGAGTTTGATGCCTCGGCCATACCCTCAACATGTTTCAAGGTTGCCTCTGCGCTTCCGCGAAGCTTCGCAGCCATAGTTTGACTGAACTGGGTTGAACGATTGTGCCGGCACTTGCATGTCTGGCTGCGGAGGTGTTGCCAGATCGACCATGCCTTTTGAACGAAAAGTTCAAGGTCAGCGTTGCAAGCGGTAAAGAGAGAAATCCATCTCCAAAAAGAAAATTAGCTGAAGCTTGGGAGGGAGATCTTGACAGCGCAGGATACACACAACAACCATACACTTACATACACCCACCCGCGCCCGTCTGCGACCCTTGCCGAAGCTCTACAACATGCGACGCTTGCCGAAGTGCAGGTGCACTCCTATGATGGCGGGGCATTCAAAAGCAAGGGACAATATGACATCAAGTCGCTGTCTCAGCATGAGTCCGTGGCATTTTCCATGGTTTGCATTCTGCAATGCAAGTTGTGAAATCATGAAATCCCAAGGGGTCAGTTTCAAAATTCTTGTAGTGGGATATGGTCGCCAAATAGATTTCGCCACAAGTTCTCGTGTGATCACGTGCTGCAATAGATTTCGTGATGTCCACCCCAACTGGATCCAACTGGATGTGTATGATTCAGGGATGTTCACGGTGCCTCACATTGTAGTGATTGTCGTGGCCAGAGCTTGCGTTTTGCTTCTGCACGTGTTGCTTGTCCCATGGCAGTGCAAGGAATTCGTTGGTTCCACTTCTCGAACCTTTCCATTGCTCCTCAAGCGGGACGAAGCCTTGACCTCAATGAGCCGGAACGCTCCTAATATTTGTGCTTGTTCCAACACGCTTTAACCTAATTAATTGCTTTCATCCAAGGTTCAATCTCGTCCTGAAGTGTTCAGACGATTTCACGCTGACCCACTTCTACGTTAGTGGCGCGCTTTGCATGCTGTTAATGGGATGCTGCAACTGAGCCGTCAGAGGCAGTCGGCCTGTGTAGGACCTGGTCACATTCCAAGCTAAATACAGCGCCCGATGAATGCCTTGTTACGGGCAGCGGGCTTTTGTAATGCGAGTCTTGGCCAGGCCCTGGACAACGTTGCACCGAGCCGGTCAAGAGCGGTTTGGTGCCTGTGCTGCATTTAATTGGACTTTATCCAGACGTTATCGGCTCGTTCCGAGATTGTTCCCAAGCACATCAGCAAACCTTCTGCTCTTTCTCTTCTTGCGTACTATTACTCTCTGCAAGATTTCTGAGTTCCCCGCGTGTTTCAAGCTTTCACCTGTTTAGGGTGCGTCATCTGGCAAGGGCAGAGTCGACAGCTGAGCCCAACTATGGGCCCCCGGCCTTAGGATCGCATAGTGACTTGTGCTTTGAAACATAAACTACAACACCCACATCTCTCATCACACATGTAGTATTCAAGTTAATTGAACCGAGCCCTTTACTGGGCCCGAGGGTGTCCATGAAAATTGGGTGATGGAATTATGCAAACATCAAGCATGTCGGGCGCCCGAGGGGCCCGAGGCTCATAGTTCCCGAAGTCTTGCAAGTTTGGGTATTGTTGGCATTTGTTGTCAGCGAATGTTCTTTTATCTCCGCGGCATGAAGCCCACAGCTCCCGATACCATGGGCACTTTGCAAATTGTTGAGGAAACCAATGTTTTGCAAACATGTTGGGGCCGATTTCATGGACAACATTTGCAAAGGAAACCAACGCGTCCCACGTAAATTGCCTACGGCTCATAGTTTCAGGAATCATGGGCGCTCTTAGAATGGTTGGTATCAATGTTGAGGCCAGATGCATGGAATACATTGGCGGAAGCAAGTTGTCCATATTTTTTGGGCTTAGGTACATTGCCGCAGTTCTTGAAACTATTGCCCCTCAACACGCAGGCTAGATGGGTGGCAAAATAAATAAAACACAACACCCACCACCCCCCCTTCCCTTATTGCGCATGGCCGTGTCTCGCTCGGAGTCTGCCTACTATTTAATTCGACTGAGTTTGTGCCCTAGCGATTTCAGCAATTCAGTCCTGCAGTCGAATGAGATGGGGTAGTGCTAAGATGTATATTGAGTCAAATCAGAGCAGTCGGACATGCTGAAGGAAGCATGCAGATGGAGATCACTGTTGCCAAACAGTTCGCCTAGCCAAAAAAGACGGGACATAAAATATGAAAAGGAGGTACGACACAAGGCAGTCTTCAGTTATCTACCAGTCTTGGCCTCTTCTATGGTTTTAGTGGTCAGGAGCTGTGAGAGGGCGGGGCTAGGGTTCATGGTCAAGGGTTGCCGAGGGCTGAATCATAGCACTCGCATGTGTGAGCGCGCAGATAAATCCCACAAGGGCCGATTCGAACTTGAATGCACGCCAAAGACTCATCATTACAACCAGGGGCTAGAGTTCCTTGAGTGAGAATAACAAGTGGCTTCTAGTCACGTTGGTTGAACGAATATAACCTATGGAATTATATTAATATGCTCTTACTAAGAAGAAGAACGCTTCCCCCAACTGTACCATGTAAGTACCTGAATAGGATCGGCTAACACGCTTGGAGGTCAACCACAACTCTTACCAAACTATAGTGTTTAGCTTCGCCTTCTCTTGCTTGTAGTCGTAACCCTGAAGATTGATAGCTACATGGCCGGGTAATCGTAGGAGTAGCTTCATGGATGCAACTGGTCTGCGAATATGTTTGAATTTATTTAAGACAAATTTTGAAAGAGTTATTCCTGCAATACATCAAGAAGTGTAAGCTAGAGGCCATGTGTTATCAGCAAGGTCAATGAAGAAAATTAGCCCCTGCCACATATGCTGCCTTGCATTCACATGTCTCGTCTTTCATCTTCATCATCTCGCGTGCACGACGTTCCCAGAAAACCACCATAGTCATTTCAATTGTAGCAAACAGGCATAGGCTCCTTCGTTGAGGATTGTCTAGACGTCCATGCAGGGTCCATGGGCCTGAAAGCTTCAAGGAGGATAAGGAGGGAATATGACAAAGCAATGCCCCACGTTCACGAAAGGTTTGGGTGCTGGAACAAGCTCCAGATGTGAGAAGCTTATCCGAACGTGCACGTTCATCAGATTCGGGCATGCCCGTGCATGCAAGCAAAACCCGGGATTTTCTTCTTGGAGGTGGAGCGCTTGAAAAAGTACGACTCCATGTGCGCAGAAGAGCTGCTCGAGATAGTGAAAGGCACGCCTCTCAGACGCTTATTATTATACATACGCATGAACCTTTTTCTTGTCGTTCTTCCCGTTCACATGAAGCGCATTCCCGTGTACAGCCTGCGTCTTCCTATTGCACGTGACATTGGGCTGCTGCTGGATTTCGTGTGGCCTTGCGAGGCCTCAGAACTTACAGCTCCAGTGCCCAATTCTGAGCTGACAGCAGCAGGTCAATAGATTGGGCGTTCCAATCTCGCAGTTTCAGTTGAAACCAAATTTTCCCATTACCAAGTTCAGACGAAGAATCAAGTTAGACACACGCTGTATGCATTTCGCTCAGGAGCAAGCTGGCAGCGTGCCTGACCCATGTCTCTACTTCACGCCTCGATCTTACAGCCTAGCCGGCTCAGCCGTAACTCGGCCTGACCCAGAAGTTGAGCAATGCTCATGTAAAGGACGGATCCCAGCTCCAGGGAGATAGAGCTGGAGCTGCCCAAATGGAGAGAAGGCAAATATGTCGCCACTGCCTGAGCTCTCGAAGTGACTCGAAGTGTTTTTGTGTGCCGAAACCGGAAGCTCTAGGTTTGTTCTTCGCTGCATTCTGCACAAAAACGAAGGGAATCTTTCTCTTTAGTAGAGAGCTGTAGAGAGCGGTCAAGCAAAGTGAAGAAGTGGGTTTGGGCGGTGACTTTGTGACTGTACCTATACAATGTAGACAAAAGCTAGCTGCGAGTGTTCCCGGGTAGGCAAAGCTTGAGCCTGGTAAGACAGGATAGTGACGGGATGGTGATCTCAAGAGTGCGACAGAGGGACCACGGATAACCGTACCGGTTTGCGCATTACATTCTGTTTGCAATGCAAAATTGGGCCTGATGTTTCTGTGGCATGGCATCGAGCATCGAGCAGCGCATGCAGCGCTACGAGGGATGTGGCGGGGTCAGCTTTCAGAGTGCTGGAGACGCCCGTCGCCCTGTCGTGGCGGCTAACAAATTGGAGCAGCAAATGTTGCGGCGCACATCGTGAAGCGCGGATGCTCTCCCTTGCGCGCTACCTCAGGCGAACGTCTCACTTACCTAATGTCTAATCATACCTCATCGAATCTACTCCGTTCGATTTTCAAGTCTGGTCAGGAGGGCCACCTCAAGAGGCTAAGACACCACCAACAGCGTAGCCGTAAATGCTGGAGGAGGGAACACTCCACAATCGCACTTCAAGGGTTCCAGCGTCAGCAAATTCAAGTGACATGGTTATTTCGCTGCGGTAGTTTCATCACTCGCGGCTGCCAATCTGCATGGGGCCTGTTGAGGAAAGCTTCTTGGGGCAATATATCGACTTGTCAGGGTGGCGCACAGTGCCTTTAGCTCTCAGTTTTAACCTGGAGGGGTGGGGCACATTGCTGTACTGGACAAGTGTACGGTGACGTACTCGGTCTGACTAGTGGCTCAGCCACTGCAACTAAGTTGGTGAGCGGGCGGATCCATGAAAGAGTGATGGAAGGCAGCGATCTAGATAGAAAGGCAACCAAGAAACAAAACAAAATTATAAACTTCACAGTGCAGCGCCATGCACCGCTCCATGATTCGACGGAGGTTGTGAAGTTCCTGGACACACACAAGGACCAAGGAAACATTGATGCCCCTCAGCTGCACAAGTCGTCACAAGTCGGCTTTGGCTTCATGCTGACGGCACTAGGAAGTGTGAAGCTGGCGAAGTTGACTACCCATGTAAGGTTGGCATTGTGGGGATGATCGGCTACTTTGGCAGGCAAGATTGCAGAACAAGGTTTGCAGTGCTTGACATGCCTGATCTGGTTCCGCGCACCTAATTATTGTTGAAGGCATGCGAAGAAACAGATTCCTCTTGGTCCATGGATGAAGCGCAAAGCATGCCGCCTCAGATGGTCCGTTAGTATGTCTTTGAGTGCGATCAGGGTTCGACGGCAAGGCACACTACGGACATGGCAGTGTTTGCGCTGCTGCTCAGGCTCGTCAGGTCTGGGTGCATCCCAACGAACTTCAGAGCATGCTCGGGGCCTACAGTGGGTTGCGCAGCTTTGCGGACGATTTGAGCTTGAGAGTAGATCAGAGGACCGCGCAGTTCACTCCGGTGACCTTCTGTGAATATTGAGAATGTCCAGGCAGGCAGCTTGAGCCTCAAACAACACAAGGTTCTCTTCCAGCGGTTGGGTGTGCGACGGTCGCGATTTCACCGGTGGATGCCGCAGTGGTCGCGTACTCGGATGCGCTTGGCAGATCATGTGCGCAGGCCAGTTGCAATGGGAAGAGTCTCTGCCAAGTCCCGCAAGCCGTCGGGGCTTCTGCCATGAGGTCAGACGGACTTTCATCAGACTAACGTGGTGCCCTCGGAATGCCCATTGGTGCTTTACATTCTCGCAAGGTGGGGCACTTCAACGTGCACGACAATTGGTTTCTAGATGCATCATCGTGACATGTCGCTACCATTGAGTACCATCTGCCCCCCTCGCTTGGCAGTCCAGTTGGCTGAAGGTCTATACCGTCACATTTCGATGCACCAACAGCGGCTTCGACCTTTGCGAAAAATGTGCACATGCCCCGGCCCCAGTCCGTTCCCTCACAACAAATCTGCTCGAATGCCTGCCCGTGTAGGCCTTTGCAGCACTTGTGCAATCTTTGTCAAATGTGTATGCCACGCAGATGTTGCCTGGGTCGATTTGGGCATCCAGGATCCAACCCTCGGACATATAGCTGAAGATTCTATTCGCTCCGATTTGGAGGCCATCCTGTTAGCAACAGGATTTTTCACACGCAGTATCGTAGGCCGACGCTCTGCAGACACTTCTTGCAGAGAGAGGAGTGCGCCATGAAGTGTCAGAGGCACTTGCTGATCCTTCACTTTGTAAGCTTGGGGTCTGGCCCTCAGCTTAGGCGTGGAACCTCCTAGTTGGCGGCCTTATACTTCTCCATGCACATATCGGTTTGATGTGGTGTTAAGGCTTTGTAGCTCCAGCAATTTTCTCTTGGACCTTGATGCAGTGTTGTATGTTCTTTGAGACGTCTTTTGGATGATTCGTTGCGGAGGCAACTCGTCTCCGGAACCTCTGGCGACGCAATTGGGCGGAGGCGATGCCCAGGTGCTGCTCCCTCTTGCATCGGGCTTCAACTCATGCTTGGTGGCTGGGGTTAAGGCCAAAGCTAGCAACAGCCCCAAAGACGGGAATTGCATGAGGTACTTTGCAGCAGGCTTGCTGGACAGTTTAGCGCTGGCCTTAGCAGAGACCACACGCGCCAGCTTCGCACTGGTGACGAGGCCCTCCTAGGCGCACGGCGCACTGTATTTTATTACAACTCGTCGGCTTCTGAATAAGACGCAACGACATCATGTGGTAGTACCCCCCCCCTCCGCCCCCGCATAAATCTTCCATGTGGTTCTTATGCTCGGGCACGGCAAGAGAATTTTTGGCACGGCGGCACAGAACCACATACATAAATCATATTAAATACAAACCATATACAAAGCATCAGGAGATTGCAAGTCGCTACCTCAGTGACAATCCGCCCATTACTATAGATATTGAAGTGGGACGGGCACGCATACAAATACAAGATTTGCCGTGTCAAAAATAAGTTGTTTGTGCGTGAGTTTGTGTCTGGCGGGTACAAGGGGAGCAGGTTTTACGGCTGGGGGTTATATTCTGGTGGTTCGCACAAGCGGCTTCTACATGATTCACGGGAAGAGTACAATTAAATACGCCTTGTATTGATAACTATTAACTTGTGCTTTCATCTTGCCGCTCAGGCCTTGCTCCTCGCCCCAGTAACTCTGCCCTTCAAGTCAGAGGCCCCGCAGGACAGCTACCGTACAATGAGACCAAGCCGCAGCTGCCATTGCATGGTAGTGGTGTGGCCCGGACATACCGCAGAGCGCTGCCGTTGGAAACGTCGTGGCGATGCTTCGCATCACGAGGTCCAGGCCCTGCAGAAGTGCCTTGATGGTCAGAGGCCGGAGGAAGAGCGCGCCTCGCTCCAAGTATCTATCAGCAGGGAGCATGCAGCATGAGAATACGTTTCCTGCTGGATCTCCAAAAAGACTGTGCCTGACACCATGCATGTGTCTGCTTTCAGCCGCCGTTGGGATCAGGCCCAATGGCTCGGATTCACGCGACCCCCCACTTTACCCGGACTGCTTGAACCAGCCTACGGAACTTTTCGCAAGCATGCACCGCGCAAAGTGGCAAGCTGCATGTTTGGCCTGGCAAGTATGCAGCCACCTCAGTTCCAAGTGCTGATTTAGATCCCCTGCGCTTTGGCCAGCGTTGCAGATGACAAGTTGACGCCTGTCGACTCCATGAGGCATAGCTTGCACCTCATGCACGGCTTCCGGAAATCCGGGCTTCTGCGCCAGCGACTTGCAGAGAGCAACCCGCGCAGCCTCTTTGCTGACATGCGTTTGTGTGTGGTGTGTGTGTGTCTAGCCTTTTCATTGATCAAGAAAAGCACTGGGATTCTTCCTGGCCGGCAGATTGCAACTCTGTTCAGTGTAACTATTCGCGTGCTTTACTACTGATTTCGTCGCGGGAGTCTTTCCAAGGCACCAGCGCTCCTAACCATGAGCCAGCGCTTGAAGAGGAGATTCTTGCACATGGCAGGTGCTAATCCCCACGACTCCAGCCCCCAGCGTTCCCGGATCTCATCAGGAGGGCAGCTCCTCAAAACTCCAGTGAAAAGCTACTCGGCAGCATTCGGCAGTGCATACTGGCATCGGCGATTTGTGCTGAGCCCGTGCAGCCGCGGCAGCCTGATGAGGTCTAACACGACTTCCGGGTCATCCGATGAGAAGCAGTCAGCCAGTGATGATCTTGCAGCTTTTCTGAGCTTAGGCGATAAGCAAAGTGCTGGGCTACTGGTCGGGAGTTCTTACATTCCTCAGCCTGGGGCGTTTGCACAAGAGGCCTGTGCTGAAGAAGTCAAAGCTAAACGAGGCAGTGGTCTGGAAGCAATGCCATGGACTTGAGTTCGGCATGGGTGAAATCAGAAACAGACTGGACATTCTTTTAGTTCGGTCATGACGCTCTATGCCCTGTATGTTGGGTCATGTTGGTGTAGCACTCCAGGTTTTCCAAAAGGTTGCTGCCGGACCTTGCTCACATGTTGACGACAGGTTCATTTGCATTGTGCCTGTTCGGGGCGGGAGCATCGTCTCACTGCGTCTGTGTAGGAGACTGTAGGCGTTGGCGCAGGGCTCCGGCCTAAGCGTGCATAAAACATCAATGCCGAGCGACCGAGCGAGCCAAGGCACAGACTCTGCAAGATGCACTGCAATGGGAGATGCAACAGGTGGAAAAGTCGCTGGGCCAAGATGGCGCCCTGGCTGATCCTTGTTGGCCCAGACAGCTGTAGTTTTTGTTCACGCCGGCACTCAGTTCAGGATGTGCAGGCGATTGCATTAGATTAGATCAAGGGAATTCAAGGGACTGCCAACGCGCACCAGATATCTGATGTGTTTGATGCTGGATGAGTGGTGCACACGGTAGATCAGGGTAGCCTGTTTCAGGTGCAACAAAGCTTGGCGCCCAACCAGGCCGTGTCTTTTGGCGCCATGGTATGATGTCACATGTCTAGTTTTTCATCTTTTCCATGGCCTTTCTTAATCCTTGCTATTTTACACAAACTTGAGGTCATGGGAGTGGCGCTGAATGGTAAAGACGACATCCGCATGCTGCGGAGTGCATTGATGATTGGCGTGGTTGGCGTCCTCTCCCTTGCAAAGGCGCCTCGTGATTGGCAACCCAGAATCCATGATATCGGAAAAAAGCTTGGCATTGTCAGAACTCATCAGCTGGCAACCTGCAGGTCTTTTCTTTGTTTCGACGGCTTTGCCCTGCAGTTTACATCAAGGAGGCGCCGCTTTGCTGCTTTGCTTCGTACAGGGCATCGGGGGCGGGCGTGGAGAGTGGACTCGCAGGGAAACGCGGAAAAACCGGGAGGCTGACTTGGAAGTTGAAGCCGTGACGGGCACCGACGCTTCTCCACGCATCGCGCCAAGGTGTGCGAGCGCAGCATGCTATTTTGCATAGTGCCAAGTAAATCCATCTTGGCATCCTACGGTAGTAAGTGAACAACCATTCTTAACTCAGAGCATCTTCCTTCTTGAGTTCTGCTGTTCTCCTGGTGCAGAGTTGGTCAAGTAGCCCCTTCCTGTTTACGATTTCTGCAGGCGCTTCGCGAACCCGAGCCTCAGCATTGATGAACGGCACGTCAGCATCACATGTCCTCGTGCAAAACATAAGACTGGGGCTCGCAGAATCTCAGAGAGAATGAGCCAAGGCATGTCAGCTTCTTCGACTGGATCATGAAGGTCTGGCATACAACGCCAGAAGATGAGGTGGCAAACGAGCGGACCTGTTTCATTTTGAAAGCTTGCTTGTGCATGCCTGCAGGGACAGGTCACCAAAGTTTCGCAGGTGCTTGCTCGCCCATTTTTTAGCATCACGAATCCGATGTCTCATGTAGTCCCGGAAGACTGAGACTGGCAGCACACACCTGGAACATTATCCTAAATAAATCCTACCAAGCATCCAAGAGTCGGGAGATGTGTGGCTGCGTTGCTGGGACGGTAGACTTGTGCTTTGTCGCGTTTGGGTTTTGTTTTGGCCTCTCCCCTGTCCTCTTCGTTGTGTTTTCCCTGAGGTGAAGCAGGCTGGGCTGGATGGCTGGGCATTCCTTGAATTTCGCCGGCTGAATTGGCGGATCTTTTCCATCATAGGCACGTGGTGTCCAAGATGCCTCATATGCCTTGGACCATGGCTGCCACTTGTCCGAAGCAGGGAAGCCATGTCACTCTGGCAAGGCCCTGTGCTTTGCGCAGTGCTCCTGCCTTTGCACTACGAGGCGTGAGTGTTCCGAATGAGCTTTTGCTTGTGGGGTGCCAGTGCCACGGCACGTCGCGTTGCAGCAAATGGAAGCCAAACGATTCACGCAGGCACATCGAGAGTCACAATACGAGCTGGACATCCTCAGTAAATTCGACATTGGCAGAGACCCCCTTCCGGACTGGATGTTATGGGTCTGTGTCCAAGACAGGGCAAAATCACGCAAAAAAAACGGTTTCCCTGTCACTGTTCGTTCGTTCATGTTCGCCTCCCGAGGTGCATGCTGCCATGGTCTGGTTTGTAGTCTGCGTCAGCGCATGGACAATAGCCCGCACTCAGGACACCGAGAGTAGTAGCACCATCTCTGTGCGGCATGTTTCGCCTTAGCTGACGGCATCATGATCGTTGTTTGCTCTCCACGTCTCTACCGCCACGTCCACCCCATTCACCCGCAAGTTGAGTCCAATGGCCCCGGTAGGAGCACTTCACAGAACGCCGCTACCAGTGGCTGAAGGACACAAGAAAGCAAATTGAGCTCTTCTTTTTTTCGGAGAGCCCTCATATGCCACAGTCGCTGCTTGTGTGAGGAAATTCCATTCCCACGAGCGAAGACGGTTCTCATCAGGACAGGTGCGCCTCAAGCATCAGGCATCCAAACTGTCGCAATGTAGATTATATGCTAATGCCATAGTCAGCTGCCGAGCGCAGCAATGGTTCTGGTGTGGCATGAATCCAGACCTCGGCCCGAAAGCTGCATGAGAGAAGCGCGGCTGCTAGGGCTTATTAAGGCCTTCTTTGGGGAATATGGGCCTTACGCTCACCTCCCCTACACCCCCTGGATCGGTCCTGTTCTGATTTGGGAGGGGACTATACCTGGTGGGGTTTTGTCTTGATGGCATGACAAGAGTTGGAAGCGCTGGGGCTTAATTTAGGTCATTTAGGTCGCGTACCTGCGCCATCCTGCACCCCTCCTCCTACAATATTATGTGTGTGTACGAACAGAAAATTATAGAAAAATGTGAATCGTATAAATTATCTGTATATATATATATACATATATATATATATACATGTACACACTCCTCCCAATGGACAACCCCCAAGTTCCAAAAAATATAAATACGTTCCAAGCGTCCAACAGACTTTATGTCATTATTTTGAAAATTTTGGGTTTTTTCTAAATACACAAATACTTGTTTTTATTTGTAGATTGCGGTTCGCGGTTCGCCGATCCCCCCTCCCGCCCTCCATGGTACCAACCCCCCCCCTCCCCCGGTATCCTCCCCTAAACTCGAAACCCCCCTTCCCTAAACCCTAAACTTAACATTAAACCCTACTGTGGACGTACAGTTCAGCTAGACGGGCACCAAAAACGCCCCAACCCCCCAACCACGCCACAGAAGGGGGACTGTAAACCCAAACAAACCCTAAACTAGAAAACCTTAAACCCTAAACCTACGCACCGGCTCAAGTGAGCATGGTACCGAGATAGGCTTGGCCCAAACCTATATATAATATGAAACTAAGCAGTGTAGGATGGCTTGCAGCTATCTCCTGCTACTGAGATTGGCGGTGCAGGAATATTCCTTCACGATATCGGTCAGATGCAGCACTGAAGCAGTATTTTGTGAACCTCTTCAGCGAGGAGGTGATTGAGCGAGCCTATGTCGTTCGGCACACAGGCACGTTCATCGTGCACTTGTCTGTTTGCCGCAGGAACACCATCTCATGCCAAGCACATGAACACGCACTAGTTACAAGCAATATGAGAAAGTGCTCCTCCGTGCAGTTCATGAAAACAAGCTGACGCCACGAACGTCGTTCGCATCCAATATTAAAGCGCTCTGGTCGGATGGCTGTGGACGTAAAACCCCTCTCCATCTTGCATGCTTCCCTGCAGGCCGCTTGTCGTATCAGGCCAGCGAGCTTGCTTGATACCGTTTTTGGTCTTGGATTTGTTGTGCCGGTGACCCACGTTGGGCATGTTGGGCCATGTTGGGGCTTAGCTCTTTCTTTTGCAGGTGGCAGCATTGAAGCAAGCTCGTTTGGACCTGCTCCATGCCAAGCAACACTGGGAGGCTGATATTCTTGCTCTGGCTCTAGATGTTTGGGAAGGGTCGGGAAATGGCAAGGATCCGAAGCCCTG